GACACGCCCATTGGGTCTCTGTGATGGGGGTTCCTGGTGGGAGGAGGGGGGGGGTCTCCAAAACTGGGGGTCCCCAATTTGGGGGGGGGTCCCCAAAAACCATGGGGGTCACCAAGGTGGGCTGGGGGTCCCCAAGGGGGGCTGTCCCCCACGGCCGCGGGGGGGATCCCCAAAATCAGGGCTCACCCCAAACTGGGGGGTCCCCGGGGGGGTTCCCCACCGGGTGCCCCCCCATTTAACCCCTTCCTCCCCTCTCTCCGCAGGTCCCGTCCGGCCCTTTGGGCGCCCCCCTCCCCCCGGGGCTGCCCCTGGCCGGGGGGGTCCCCGTGGGGGTCCCGGGGGCCGGGGGGGTCCCGGGGGGCTCCGAGCTCTTCTCGTGCCCCGTGTGCCACAAGAGCTTCGGCTTCCAGCGGATGCTGAACCGGCACCTCAAGTGCCACAGCGAGGTGAAGCGGCACCGCTGCCCCTACTGCGGGAAGGGCTTCAACGACACCTTCGACCTCAAGCGCCACGTGCGCACCCACACCGGTGAGAGCGGGACGGAACGGGTGGGAACGGGATTGGAACGGGATTGGAACGGGTGGGATTGAGGTGGGAATGGGATTGGAGTGGGAATGGGAATGGGATTGGGGTGGGAAAAGGTTCAACGACACCTTCGACCTCAAGCGCCACGTGCGCACCCACACGGGTGAGAGCGGGATGGAACGGGTGGGAACGGGATTGGAACGGGTTTGGGAATGGGATTGGGATTGGGATTGGGATTGAGGGGGGACAGGGACAGGGACAGCATTGATGGCAACCAGCCTGGCCCCAACCTCCCCTCACCCTGAATGTCCCCATGTCCCCAGGTGTCCGTCCCTACAAGTGCTCCCTGTGTGACAATGCCATGTCCCCTCAGTGTCCCCCTGTCCCCTGTCCAGGTGTCCGTCCCTACAAGTGCTCGCTGTGTGACAAGGCCTTCACGCAGCGCTGCTCGCTGGAGTCGCACCTGCGCAAGATCCACGGCGTGGCGCAGCGCTACGGCTACAAGGAGCGGCGCGCCAAGCTCTACGTGTGCGAGGAGTGCGGCGGCACGGCCGACAGCCAGGACGCGCACCTGGCGCACCTGCGCCAGCGCCACCCCCACAGCCCGCTGCTGGCCAAGCTGGCCCGCAAGGCCGCGGCCACGCCCGCGCCACGCCCGGCCCCGCCCCGCGCCGCCCCGCCCCCCTAGGGAGGGAGAGGGGAGGGGGCGGGGACGTGGGGGACACGCCCATTAGGGACACGCCCATCAGGGAGGGACACACCCATTCGGGGAGGGACACGCCCATTAAGAAGGGACACACCCATTAGGGACACGCCCATTAGGGAGGGACACGCCCATTGGGGGCTCATTGGGGACACGCCCATTAGGGACACGCCTACTAGGGTGGGACACACCCATTAGGGAGGGACACGCCCATTCGGGGAGGGAAACACCCATTCAGGGAGGGACACGCCCATGGGGGGACACGCCCATTAGGGACACGCCCATTAGGGGAGGGACACACCCATTCACGGACATGCCCATTCGGGAGGGACACGCCCATTCGGGGCTCATTGGGGACACGCCCATTCGGGGAGGGACACACTCATTGGGGGACACGCCCATTAGGGACACGCCCGTTAGGGAGGGACACGCCCATTAGGGAGATGCTCATTAGGGACACGCCCATTAGGGACATGCCCATTCGGGAGGGACACGCCCATTCGGGGCTCATTGGGGACACGCCCATTCGGGGAGGGACACACTCATGGGGGGACACGCCCATTAGGGACACGCCCATTAGGGACACACCCATTAGGGACATGCTAATTAGGAAGGGACATGCCCATTAGGAAGGGACACGCCCATTAGGGACACGCCCATTGGGGACACGCCCATTAGGGACACGCTAATTAGGGAGGGACACGCCCATTCAGGGAGGACACGCCCCATTAGAGAAGGACACACCCACTAGGGTCACACCCATTAGGGACACGCTAATTAGGGAGGGACACACTCATTAGGGACACGCCCATCAGGGAGGGACACACCCAATTAGGGACATGCCAATTAGGTTCACGCCCATTCAGGGGGACACGCCCATTCGGGAGGGACACGCCCACTTGGTGGCTGCAGGCATTTTTAGCGGGACACACCCATTATGGGGAGGGACACGCCCACTTTGAGGTTAGGGGAGGGACACACCCAGCTGGGCCACGCCCACTTGTGGAAGGGACACGCCCACTTAGGGACACAGATGGGGAGGGACACGCCCACTTCAGGCAGGGACACACCCACCTGGGGACACGCCCACTTCAGGCAGGGACACGCCCAGTTTTGAGTTGGGGAAGAAACTCTGAGGCCACGCCCACCATGGATTATAGACCACGCCCACTGGGTTGGGACACGCCCCTTTTGGGGTCAGGTGGGGGGTTGGGATTGAAGCCACGCCCACTCCCCCCCTTGGGAATTAAAGCCCCTCTGTGATCACTGACCACGCCCCTCGCGTCGGAGGCCACGCCCCCTTGGCTCAGGCCACGCCCCCTCCATGAGTCTCACCGGGGGGTCTCGGCAGCCCCTCCCCCACACGGCAGTGCTGTCAGTCCAGTTTTTATTGCCCGGGACCCCCAGACCGGGGGATGGGGGAGGGGGTGATGGGGGAGGGGCGGCCCCTCCCTCTCGGGTGGGCGGCTTAAAATGGGGGGGACACACAAAATTGGGAGGGGCCCGCAGGAAATGAAGCCCCTCCCCCAAAAAGGGGGGGACCGCCCCCCCAAACTCTGCCCCACCCCCCCGAGAAGTTTCAGCCCCCAAACATGGGGTGAAATGCCCAAAAAATGGGGGAGGGGGCGCCCCAATTATTGGGTGTGGCCCCCCCCCCCCCGAAATGGATCGTACCACCCTAAAAAAAGGGACCCCCCCCAAATCAGGGGTCTGCCCCCCCCAAAATGGGGCGTTCCCCCAAAGCGCGACCCCCCCTTCACGGTGCACCTCCTAATTAAGACGTGGCCCCCCCCTAATTAAGACACGCCCCCCCAATTAAGGCCTTGTTGTACCGCCCACCAGGGGGCGCCACCCACGGGGGGGGGGGGGCCCTTAAAGGGGCCCCCCCCCAAATTAAGGCCTTGTTGTACCGCCCACCAGGGGGCGCCACCCACGGGGGGGGGGGGGCTCTTAAAGGGGCCACGCCCCATTTTTGCGAGGTCCTTTCCGGGGGAGTTTTGGGGGGATTTTTTGGGGGGAAACCCCCCAAAATCTACTCGATGACGGCGATGAGGTCCTCGCCCTCGAGGCTGAGCCCGGGGCGCACGTGCACCTTGGTGACTTTGCCCGCCACGGGCGCCGTCACCACGGTCTCCATCTTCATGGCGCTGAGGACGCACAGCGGGTCCCCCTTGGCCACCGTCGCCCCCTCCTTGACCCGCACCTCGACCACCTCCCCCGGCATCGGGGCGCCCACCTGGCCCTTGGCCCCCTTCTCGGCCTTGGGGTGCACGTGCATCTCCTGGGGGGGGGGACGGGGGGGTCGGGGGTCACCAAAGGCACCCCAAAGGCACCCCGGAGTCACCCCAAAGTCACCCCAAAGACACCCCGGAGTCACCCCAGAGTCACCCCTGTGTTCCTTCAAACGGCCTCAGAGCCCCTTAAGGGTGCTCAGAGCCCCCCAAAATCCCATCAGAGCCCTCCCCAAAATCTCCTCAGACCCCTCAAAATCCCCTCAAACCGCCCCAAAATCTCCTCAGACCTCCCTAAAATTCCCGAAACCCCCTCAAAATCCCCTCAGAAACCCCACAGCCCCCCCAAAATCCTCCCAAAAGCTACCAAACTCTCCCCAAATCCCCTCAAATCCCTCCCAAATGCCCCCAAACTCCCCCCAGATCCCCTCAAATCCCCCCTAAACGCCGCCAAATCCTCTCAAATTCCCCCAAGCCCCCCCGGCCCCCGCCCACCTTGAGCGCCTGCGTGTCCCGGACCAGGATGGATCTCAGCTGCCCGTTGAGCTCGAAGAAAACCTCGCGCTGCCCGGCCGCGTTCAGGTCCCCGAGCGCCAGCGCCTTAACCCCCTCAGACCCCTCCAAAATCCCCTCAGATCTCCCTAAAATTCCCTCCAAATCCCCTCAGAGCTTCCTAAAGCTGCTCGAAGCCCTCCAAAACCCCCTCAGACCCCCCGAAAATCCCCTCAAAATCCCCTCCACCTAGGAGTAAACCACGAGTAACTGCTGTGTAAGGGCTGGATGTGCAGCGTCTTACCCCGCTCCAGCTCCACCTAGGAGTAAACCACGAGTAAATGGTGTGTAAATTTTTTATGTGCAGGGTCTGACCCCGCTCCAGCTCCACCTAGGAGTAAACCACGAGTAAATGCTGTGTAACTGCTGTGTAAGGGCTGGATGTGCAGGGTCTGACCCCGCTCCAGCTCCACCTAGGAGTAAACCACGAGTAAATGCTGTGTAACTGCTGTGTAAGGGTGTCCAGGAGTGTGTAACTGGTGTGTAACTGGTGTGTAACTGGTGTGTAAGGGCTGGATGTGCAGCGTCTGACCCCGCTCCAGCTCCACCTGCGAGTAAACCACGAGTAAATGCTGTGTAAGGGCTGGATGTGCAGGGTCTGACCCCGCTCCAGCTCCACCTAGGAGTAAACCGTGTGTAAATGGTGTGTAAATGGTGTGTAACTGGTGTGTAAGGGCTGGATGTGCAGGGTCTGACCCCGCTCCAGCTCCACCTAGGAGTAAACCATGAGTAACTGGTGTGTAAGGGTGTCCAGGAGTGTGTAACTGGTGTGTAACTGCTGTGTAACTGGTGTGTAACTGGTGTGTAAAGGCTGGATGTGCAGGGTCTGACCCTGCTCCAGCTCCACCTAGGAGTAAACCATGAGTAACTGGTGTGTAAGGGTGTCCAGGAGTGTGTAACTGGTGCGTAACTGGTGTGGAAGGGGCTCCAGGGCTGGGCAAGGAGTTCCAGGCGTGCACAAGTCCCAGACCCCTCCCAGTCCCCTCCCAGTGCCCCCCAGTCCCCTCCCAGTCCCTTCCAGTGAGTCCCAGTCCCCCCCCAGTCCCCTCCCAGTCCCTCCCAGTGCTCCCAGTGCCCCCCAGCGCCCCACCTCGAACTCCTCGGCGATGGTGGGCCCCTCGCGGAAGAGGCGGGTGCCCAGGCAGGCCACGGGCCCGAAGGTGCTGCTGAAGGTGCGGAACTCGTCGTAGACCTTGGGGTAGAGCGCGGCCGAGAGCAGCTCCTCGGGGCTGGGGGGGGCCCCGTGCCGCGCCCCCAGCTCCCGGCTCAGCGCCTCGAAGTCCAGGGGGGGCAGCGACGCCCCCGGGCGCCCCTCGACCCGCGGCAGCTCCTTCAGCACCTGCGGGCACCGCGGGTTGGAGGGGGGGCACCGGCACGGGGACGGGGCACCGTGGCAATGGGGGGGACGGGGCTCCAGCTCCACCTAGGAGTAAACCATGAGTAACTGGTGAGTAAGGGTGTCCAGGAGTGTGTAACTGGTGCGTAACTGGTGTGGAAGGGGCTCCAGGGCTGGGCAAGGAGTTCCAGGTGTGCACAAGTCCCAACCCCCTCCCAGTGCCCCCAGTGCCCCACCTCGAACTCCTCGGCGATGGTGGGCCCCTCGAGGAAGAGGCGGGTGCCCAGGCAGGCCACGGGCCCGAAGGTGCTGCTGAAGGTGCGGAACTCGTCGTAGACCTTGGGGTAGAGCGCGGCCGAGAGCAGCTCCTCGGGGCTGGGGGGGGCCCCGTGCCGCGCCCCCAGCTCCCGGCTCAGCGCCTCGAAGTCCAGGGGGGGCAGCGACGCCCCCGGGCGCCCCTCAACCCGCGGCAGCTCCTTCAGCACCTGTGGGCACCGCGGGTTGGAGGGGGGGCACCGGGACGGGGACGGGGCACCGTGGCAATGGGGGGGATGGGGACGGGGACAGGGACAGAGACAGGGGAATGGGACAGGGACAGGGACGGGGACAGGGACACCATGGCAATGGGGGGACAGGGACAGGGGAACGGGACAGGGACAGGGACAGGGACATGGACATGGGACAGGGATGGGGACAGGGAGATGGGAATGGGACAGGGACAGGGACACCATGGCAACAGGGGGGACAGGGACAGGGACAGGGACAGGGGACATGGCAATGGGACATGGGAACGGGACAGGGACGGGGACAGGGAGATGGGAATGGGACATGGACAGGGGACACCATGGCAACGGGGGACAGGGACAGGGGAATGGGACAGGGACGGGGAGATAGGAATGGAACAGGGGAATGGGACAATCCCAGTCCCCCCATCTCCCCCACCTCGAACTCCTCGGCGATGGTGGGCCCCTCAAGGAAGAGGCGGGTGCCCAGGCAGGCCACGGGCCCGAAGGTGCTGCTGAAGGTGCGGAACTCGTCGTAGACCTTGGGGTAGAGCGCGGCCGAGAGCAGCTCCTCGGGGCTGGGGGGGGCCCCGTGCCGCGCCCCCAGCTCCCGGCTCAGCGCCTCGAAGTCCAGGGGGGGCAGCGACGCCCCCGGGCGCCCCTCGACCCGCGGCAGCTCCTTCAGCACCTGCGGGCACCGCGGGTTGGAGGGGGGGCACCGGGACGGGGACGGGGCACCGTGGCAATGGGGGGGATGGGGACGGGGACAGGGACAGAGACAGGGGAATGGGACAGGGACAGGGACGGGGACAGGGACACCATGGCAATGGGGGGACAGGGACAGGGACAGGGACGGGGACACCATGGCAATGGAGGGGACAGGGACAGGGGAATGGGGGGGACAGGGATGGGGACAGGGGGACGGGGACAGGGACAGGGACACCATGGCAATGGGGGGACAGGGACAGGGGAACGGGACAGGGACAGGGACAGGGACATGGACATGGGACAGGGATGGGGACAGGGAGATGGGAATGGGACAGGGACAGGGACACCATGGCAACAGGGGGGACAGGGACAGGGACAGGGACAGGGGACATGGCAATGGGACATGGGAACGGGACAGGGACGGGGACAGGGAGATGGGAATGGGACATGGACAGGGGACACCATGGCAACGGGGGACAGGGACAGGGGAATGGGACAGGGACGGGGAGATAGGAATGGAACAGGGGAATGGGAAGGGGACAGGGACAGGGACATGGGAATGGAACAGGGACATGGTAACGGGGACATGGGACAGGGACAGAACCACAGCATCCTGTTGCCATGGCAACAGCCTCCAGTACATCCTCCCAGTCCCTCTGAGTCCTTCCCAATGCCATCCCAGTCCCTCCCAGTGCATCCCAGTGCCATCCCAGTGCCATCCCAGTCCCTCCCAGTGCATCCCAGTCCCTCCCAGTGCCATCCCAGTGCCTCCCAGTGCATCCCAGGCCCTCCCAGTCCCTCCCAGTGCCATCCCAGTCCCTCTCAGTGCATCCCAGTCCTCTCCAGTCCCTCCCAGTCCCTCCCAGTCCCCGGCCCCCAGTGCATCCCAGTCCCTCCCAGTGCCATCCCAGTCCCTCTCAGTGCATCCCAGTCCTCTCCAGTCCCTCCCAGTCCCTCCCAGTCTCTCCCAGTCCCTTCCAGTCCCTGCCAGTGCCCAGCAGGACGCACCCGGGAGCGGAAGGGCTCGGGGAAGCCCCCCGGGGGGACCCCGATGTGTCCCTGCAGGAACTCCACCACGCTGAGGGGGAAGGAGAGCTCGTCCGCGCGCGCCTCGGCCTCCTCCCGCGAGAGCCCGTTCTGCACCATGAACTGCGCCAGGTCCCCCACCACCTTCGAGGTCGGCGTCACCTGCGGGCCACCAGGGTCACCTCGGGGCCACTGGGGGCACCTCGGGGCCACCTCGGGGCCACCAGGGTCACCTCGGGGCCACCGGGGGCCACCTCGGGGCCACCTCGCAGTCCACTCCTGGGTTAACTCATGGGGCAACTCGGGGTCACCTTGTGGTCAACTCAAGGGGCAGCTCTTGGGTCACCTCATGGGTCAGTGTGGGGGGAACCTCTTGGGTGAACTTTTGGGGTCATCTTAGGGGTCATTTCATGGGTCAGCTCAGGGTCAGCTTGGGAGGACCCTCATGGGACACTTGGGGGTCACCACATGACCACTCGTGGTGGAACACCCACCCATGGAGACCACCCACCCCAAAAAGATCCTGCCAACCCATGGAGACCATCCTATGGAGATCCTCCCACCCTACAGAGATTCTCCACACCATGGAGACCACCTGCCCCATGGAGACCATTTTGTGGAGACCACCCACCCATGGAGACCATCCTATGGAGATCCTCCCACCCTACAGAGATTCTCCACACCATGGAGACCACCTGCCCCATGGAGACCCAGACCCCACAGACCCCCGTGCGGCCCCCAGGGCCACCCCACCTTGATGAGGTCCCCGAGCAGCTTGTTGGCCTCGGTGTAGGCCTTCTTGACCTCCTTGAACTTGTGGCCCAGCCCCATGGCGTGGGCCTGGAAGTGCAGGTTGGTGTACTGCCCGCCCGGGATCTCGTTCTCGTAGACGTCGGCGTTGCCCGACTTCATGGTGGCCGTGCAGTCGAAGGCGGCGTAGAGGCCCCGCGCCGCCTCCCAGTACTCGCTGTACTCGAAGACGCGCTCCAGGTCGATGCCTGGGGACAGGGGACACCGCGGGGACGCTGCGGGGGTGTGGCGTGGGGCGTGTCGTGCATTGGGAATGAAGTCGTGGCTCTGGTGGCACCTCCAGGAGCGTGGTGGCACCTCCGTGACCACTGTGGCTCCTCAAAGCCTTGGTGGCACCTCCAAACCCTTGGTGACACTTCCAAACCCTTGGTGACATCTCAAACCCTCGTCATCACCTTCAACCCTTGGTGACACTTCCAAACCCTTGGTGACATCTCAAACCCTTGGTGGCACCTCCAAACCCTTGGTGACATCTCAAACCCTTGGTGACATCTCAAACCCTTGGTGGCACCTCCAAACCCTTGGTGGCACCCCAACCCCTCCGTGTCCCTCCAACCCTTGCTGTCCCTCCAAATCCTTGGTGACATCTCAAACCCTTGTTGTCCCCTTCAACCTTTGGTGACACTTCCAAACCCTTGGTGACATCTCAAACCCTTGGTAGCACCCCAAACCCTCGGTGACATCTCAAACACTTGGTAGCACCTACAACCCTTGCTGTCCCTCCAAACCCTTGGTGACATCTCAAACCCTCGTCATCCCCTTCAACCCTTGGTAACACCTCCGAACCCTTGGTGACATCTCAAATCCCTGCTGTCCCTCCAAACCCTCGGTGGCACCCCAAACCCTCGTTGTCCCCTGAACGCCGCGCTGTCCCCACCTGTGTCCAGGGGCGTCCCCCGCGCGCAGGCCACCACGGCGCCCATGCTGGGCTGCGAGGTCATGCCGGACATGGCGTCCACGGCCACGTCCACCACGTCGGCGCCGGCCTGGGCGGCCGCCAGCATGGAGGCCACGCCGGCGCCGGCCGTGTCGTGGGTGTGCACGTGCAGGGGCACCTCGGGGTGCTGCTCCCGCAGGGCCCCCACCAGCAGCCGGGCGGCCGCGGGGGTCAGCAGCCCCGCCATGTCCTGGGGGGGAACACGGGGGTCACCCGGGGGTCACGTGGGGCGTGGGGACCCTCCGTGTCCCACCCTTCATCCAACCCGGCCTTGAACAACAGGGGAGCTCCAGATCCTCCCCAGGACCCCCAAATCCTCCCCAAATCCCCCTAATTCCTTTCACAACCCCACCAGGATGCCCCAAATCCCCCCAGGACCTCCCCAAATCCACCCAGGACCCCCCAAACCCCCTCCAGACCTTGATGCAGAGCACATGTGTCCCCGCTGCCACCATACCCCATCCCATTCCCCACAAACCCAACCATTTCCCAACCACTCCATTCCCCCAAATCCCTCTCAAATCCCCTCCAGGACCCCCCCAAACCCCCCAGGACCCCCCAAACCCACCCAGGACCCCCTA